TTTAAAAAGGAAAAAAAAATCAAAAAAAAAAAAAAAAAAAACTTAAAGACTTCTCCCATGAGCAAAACAGCACTCTCAAAAGGATCCTGAAACCTCAGTCCTCCTCAACAAGCTCCAGATCATGAGCACATGCATGCCTGATGTACACAGGGAAATCTCTAGACATGAAACCAGAACCTTGCCATTCAGGTCAGCCTCACAGACTGTCACATTTTACCTCTGGATACGATTCAGCCCCCTTGATGTTATTTTCAAGACTTGGATTTGGCTTTTAAAATTTGGGCAGAATATGTCCAAGGTTTTTGTTTTTGTTTTTTTTTTTTTTGTGTGTGTGTGTATGTCATTTTAAAAAACCCCATTTTAACCATTTCTAAGAATTAAGTGCACTTTTCAGTATAACCTTCACCACCATCCACCTCTAGAACATTTTTGTCTTACCCACCAAAACTCTCTACCCATTAAATTCTAATCCCCTGTTTCTTCCTTCACCCTGCTTTTTGCAACCACCATTCTACTTTTTTTAATATGAATTTGACTACTATAGGGATGTTATATAAGTGGAATTATACATTGTTCACCCTTTTGTGTCTAGCTTATTTCACTTAACATAATGTGTTACAGGGTCATTTAGGATGGAACATGTGTCAGAATTTTATTCATTTGTAAGGTTAAATCATATTCTCTTGTATGTGAATACTATATTTCGTTCAGTCAGCTGCCTATGGGCATTTGGAATTTTTACATCTTTAGGTTATAAGAAATAATGTTGTTATCAACACTACTATAGAAATAGCTGATTTTTTTTTTCTACATTAATTATTTTGGCTATATATCTACATATGGAATTACTAGGTAGTATGGTAGTTCAAAGTTCAAGCTTTTGAGAAACCACCAAACTTTCTCATGGAGGCATAATTTTTTATTCCCACTAACAATGCACAAACATTCCAACTTTTCCACATTCTCACAAATGTGTTATTTTCATTTTCTTTTCTTTTTTCTCCCTTTACATCATAGCCATATAGTGGATATTGATATCTCACTATGGTTTTGATTTGCAAAATGATTAGTGAGGTTCATTAATAAAGTTAATGAGGTTGAGCATTGCTTAAATCATTATTGTCCATTTGCATATCTTCCTCAAAGAAATGTGCAAGTTTTTTGCCCATATTTGAATTGAATTGTTTGAGGCTTTTGCTATTGAGTTTTAAAATTTTTGTATTTTCTTGGTTTAATCCCTTGTCAGACATACAGTTTGAAAATAATTTTTCTCAGCAGGCCTGGTCACCACAGACCTTCCCACATCCCCACCCATACTCCTCTCTGGACTTCAGATTGGTTCCATGGGACTTTAAGACGAACTCACACCCCACCTCACTCCACCTGGAAACCGGCCAACAGTTCTGGACACCAGGCTGCCTGCAGCTGCAGGCCTGGTCACCGGGTCCCGTCACTCGTTTTCTGGCCCTTCATCAGTTGCCTTTTGACTCTCTGAATTTTAGTTTTTTGAATAGTGTGTGGCGTACAATGCACGCCATGTGATTTTTTTTGTTTTGTTTTGTTTTTCTTTGCTCTTGAGGTATTACTTATTAGGTGAATTGGAGGCTCACCACTCCTTAGAAACAGGGAGGACTTTGGGTCACCCAGGACCACTAACAGTACATGGTACTGGTGAGCATCAAGTAGGCCAACCATAAGAGAAATCATCAATTTTCTAATCCTGTACACCTTTTAACACTCAGAGATACCTTAAATAAATTAGGAAGCAACATATATATCACCTGATGACTAGGAACAATCGCAGAGGCTCAAGAAGTATGAGCCACCAACAAAAGGTTTCTCCCCCAAGGGAAATTATCAAGCTTACATCACCCACAGTCAATACAATGGACATCGTGGACATGTCTGATAAGGAATTCAGAATATTTTCAGTGACCAAACTAACTGAGATGGAAGAGAAAAGAGACAAGGAGCTCCAGGAGATGAGGAAGTCCCTTTATGATTTGAAAGAAGAAATAGATACCTTAAACAAGAACCAAATGGAACTTCTAGGGTTGAAGAATGTGATACAGGAAATCAAAACCTCCCTTGAAAGTATTAAAAGTAGGTTAGATCAGGCAGAAGATAGACTCTCTAATGTAGAAGACAAAACATCTGACCTAGAAAAAATATCAAGAAGATTGAGAAAACAACCATGAAAAATGAGGATAATATATGAGGAATACTGGATACCATCAAGTGCCCTAGCATCCAGATAATTGGTATCCCAGAAGAGGAAGAAAATAATAATGGCCTAGATAATTTATTCCACGAAATCCTGGAAGAAAACTTTCCAAACCTAGAGAGACATTCAAATATCCAGATTCAAGAAATACATAGGAACTCGAGTAGAATCAACCCAAGAAGATCCTCTCCAAGGCACATCATAGCCAGACTGGCAAAAACAA